TCTTCCCAGTGTTGGACATTTTGGGTAAGGCTACCCTCACTGAGTCCTGAGAGTCTCTCACCTCTCAGGGTCTCTGGTGTTTTCAAGAGGGCCCCCCCTCCCCTCTCCATGCTGCTTATCTCCATTCATTCCCTTGGCCCTCTGGGCTTCTCTCCTGCCCTGCCCCATATCTGATCATTTTCTACTTTTCCCATCCCCTCCCCCTCTCTCTCTTAGGCCTTTCTGTTTGTTGAGGGTTCTTCTTAAGGTATGTGGATTGTGTCCTAGGTATTCTGTACTTTTTGGCTAATATCCATGATTCAGAGATTACATATCATCCATATCCTTCAGGTCTGAGTTACCTTACTCAGGATGATATTTTCTAGTTCCATCCATTTGCCTGAAAAATTCATGATGCCCTCCTTTTTAATAGTGGAATAGTATTTCATTGTGTTAATAAACCACATTTTCTGTCTTCATTCATTAGTTGAGAGACATCTTGGTTGTTTCCAGCTATTGGATATTACAAATAAGGCTGCTATGAACATAGTGGAGCAAGTGTCCTTGTGTGATGTTGGGGCATCTTTTGGATATATGCCCAAGAGTGGCATAGCTGGGTCTTCCGGTAGAACTATTTCCAATTTTCTGAGGAACTGCCAGACTGATTTTTCAGAGTGGTTGTACCAGTTTCTAATACTACCAGCGATGGAGGAGTGTTCTTCTTTCTCCACGTCCTCTCCTACATGAGCTGTCACTTGAGTTTTTAGTCTTAGCCATTTCTGATTGGTGTCTGCCCCCTAACCAGGGCTCTTCTTCTGTCTATTCATAAAATGTACTATTTAATTTTATAAAAAGTAGTGTACTGCCACATAAACTATGAGTTAGTGAGTTCAAGGAAATCTACGTAAGGTGAAAGGATCCATGCACCACGGCAGAGGATCTGGTACACGAACACAGTCTGTTGCTGATCTTACCAATCATGTCCCCTGGTCATTTCATTCATGGACTGAAAAGGAAGCTTCGAAAACCTTGACTTTTGAAAGATTGTGTCTCTTTCAGAAATAGGGTTTGCAGATGTTAATAATCTGAAATGTCTCATGAACAATAATAAATAAATTATTTTGCACTGAACATGATGCTTGATTTTTTTCTTTATCTTCATCAAAAATCTTAGAAAAAAATTTAATATATAGCATCCAAAAGAATAAAAATCACTCATTTTATGATAAACTAAAATTAAAGAATATAAAATTTTAATTATCTATTAAAAGGTTTTAAATACTCTAATCAGAGTAATAAAAAGTGGAGTTAATTAATTTATATTGCTGAACATCTGCTCCTAGTTATAATAAAACTGGAGTGGCTGAAGACTGGTTTTTTTTTTCACATTTCAATCACCTAAAATCAGATGCTTTGAAATATTACAGCATATTGAACTTGATGTAGACACTACATTCTTAAAAGAAAATGGCATAAAGCTTCCTTTATCATCCAAGACATTCTCTCTAATGATGAGGTTGAAATTCAGGGTGGAATTAGATAAAGCTTTCAGATACTCAGGCAGTAATAGCCAGAAACATTTCACTGTACCATCTACTTGTATATAAGTGTCCAGAATCCTCAAATCTTATTTCCAACATGGCAAATCTCTGCAGTTTTGTTTCAGAGGGCTTTGTATAAATATCCAAGAAATGAGAGTCTCCATGAATAAGACGTGTGTGTGTGTGTGTGTGTGTGTGTGTGTGTGTGTGTGTGTATGTTCAATGTTGTCTTAAAATCACATGTTAAAATAATAGCAAATAACAATAAAAAGAAAGGTTTTGAAGCTCATATATAATTTTATTAAAATTCAACTGTGTCCACAGCACAAATTCAGGCGCTAAATCACAACGCTGAAAAAAAAATAGTTTTCTTGATACGGACAATTGTAATAAGTACGCTGGATTATATTGTAAATGAAATACTGAAAGAGCATCTTATTGTGCACTTTGTTGTACTCTACTGTCCAGGTCTCTTACCTCTGCTCACCCTATTATTTCATTTAGACTTCATGTTAAGTGTTTGAATGTGAAATACAGACTCATGTGCTTGAGTATGTTGTCTCAGGTGGTAGGCTGTTTGGAGAGGTTGTGGAACTTTTTTAGAGTAGATAGCTGGTGGGCATAGGACACTAAGTGTAGTGGGAAATTGGGAGCAGTAAGGAGAGCAAGAGGAGAAGCAAGGAGAGGAAGAGGAGAAGGATGAGGAGGAGCAAGGAGAGGAAGAGGAGAAGGATGAGGAGGAGCAAGGAGAGGAAGAGGAGAAGGGTGAGGAGGAGCAAGGAGAGGAAGAGGAGAAGGGTGAGGAGGAGCAAGGAGAGGAAGAGGAGAAGGATGAAGAGGAGCAAGGAGAGGAAGAGGAGAAGGATGAGGAGGAGCAAGGAGAGGAAGAGGAGAAGGATGAGGGGGAGCAAGGAGAGGAAGAGGTGTAGGAAGATGGAGAACCACACTTGGAGTGAGAGCAGTCCTGGGTAACAACTTATATCTAGGTTAGTTAATTGGGAAATAACTCCAATTGTATGGGCATCTTGTTAATTTGAGCATTTCCGAACTTATAAAGCTTTAGATAATCTAAGCCTTAGAGTCTCAGTTTATACCAGATACCGCATGGATGGCTGGATGGTCTGGGCTCAGCCCAGCCTTGTGGAGACAGCATGGAAGATTGGCAGAGCCATCTCCCACAATGGCATCTCGTAGGTGGCAGGGCCCAGTGTCTCTCACCGCCTGGGAGGACGGCCTGAGCCAGGCAGCAGCAGTACGCCACCACTGCTTGTGGTCACAGGCCTAGGATAGTCGGGAACATGGAGGCTGATTAAGAAAAGCCAGATTGAATGCTGCCATTTTAAATATCTTCCACAACAACTTAGAATGAGCATTGATACTAATTTCAGTACATTTCTGCTTCACTTCTATAATTGAAAGATCCTGGTGCCAATGCCCAGGCCAGTTCCACCTGCATGGCTTTCCCACTATAAAGGGCAGAATTTTTAAAACTGTAAGCGAAACTAAACCCGTCCTTGCTTAAGACTTTGTAGTTGGTTGGTTGGTTGGTTGGTTGGTTGGTTGGTTGGTTGGTTGGTTGTTTTCAAGCTTGCAGCACCTTTCCCCAGCTTTCCAAATCATAGAATCTTATTTCTGTCTTTCTCTCCCTAACCACTGCCAGGAAAACCTTCTGTTTTTAAAGTTTGTGAGCTTAAGTTTCGTATGCCTGCAAATGAAAGACAAACTCCCCAAAGAGGTTCTCGACCTTTAACATATCTGTAGAGTGTTTTGCTCTTTGATGTTTAAGGTAGCATATTTACAGGCTACTGGCATGGTCACGTTTGGTGGTCAACAGATAGTCATTCCTCTACTTACCACAAGCAAGATTAGACCTCTGTGTTTGGTAAACATGTTTTATAACTAAAATCTACTAGGTAAATTTAAAAAGAAGTAATGCAACTTTTAAAAGTCAAGAGAGCAGAATGTGTCTAAAGATATCCTCCCTAGTTAATGAAGAACTGCATGAATAGTCAAAGAAGTTAAAGAAATAAATAATCAAGCAAAAGTTTTATCAGAATGGTGTAGGAAAGGATAGAGAATTAAACACAACAGAAAGTCTTGGTGCCTTAGAATTTATTTCAGTATTATAACTGCTTCCGTTGACAAGCCACGAATGTGGGAAAGTTCCGTGAATCTATTTTCATTGCTGATACTTTAGTTACCAAATATCTTTCAAGTTTTACCTGTACTGGGGAAAAGATCTCTTATAATATCCCCCCAAAGAGGCCAAATAGCTGCAAGGGAATCTGCAGTGAGAGGCAGGTGTGGTTTCTCTGGTTCTGTTTCTTCCCATCATCTCTATTTATGGTCCCACAAGCCCCTCCCTGCCAAGCTTGATGAGAATATCCATCAGATAGTACTACTGGTCAATGACATCAATGTGATTTGATTGGATAAAGGGCCAAAAGCTTATATTCAATAGAGTTCTGCTGTTGAAATCAGATCAAAAACTATCACCGTTTATCAGAAAAAAAAAAATGGAGAGAAAAATGAAATGAAGTCGACCGTTGTCAATGTCAGCATTGAACAAAAGGATCAAGAGACACAGTAAATGTTTGATAAATGCTTGATTTTGATAAAATTGCAACACTTCTAAAGTGGGGAAGCTGGAGTGATTTAAAGTATGACACAGAAGGAAGGAAATATTTGTAAAAATAATTGACAGAATTATTTGTTTTAGTAATAAACACAAATTCATAGAATAAAACACTATTATAAAAATGGGTGAAATAATTTCACAGAAACTTCATAAATCAGATTAACAAAGTGACAGAGGTTACATATAAATTTTTTTAAATAAAATTCCGGTTTATTGTTGGACATTGTTTCACACATACATCAAACAGGCAATAAATAAGTAAATAAGTAAATAAATAAACAAACAGCAACTTCATGGACAAAACAAAAAGAAACAAATCTTTTTATCTTTAGCCTTTTTAACCATGTCATACAAACCAACTGCTTATAGTACAGCTAGGTACAACCACAAAAATGTTACTGGAATACTCAGAATAAGATTGGTTTGTTGTTTAGGGTTTTTTTGCAAGGTTTATTTTTCTCCTTTGAGATTATAATGAACATGGTCACACCACAAGTAAAGTCTGAAGCAGGACAGAAAACTCTCTGAAGTCTGTTTTGGTCACCTGTTATCATTAAAAATGGCTGAATCCTAATAACATGTACAAAAATATAAAATATAAATAAAAATACAAACAATTTTCCTTTTAAAGTATTTTTCAGAAAAAAAGCAGGGCCTGGGAAGTTCTGGCTCTTTTTTCCTCCCCTGTTGCCAATTCATGTTGTGGTTTTTAGTAGGGTGGTAGAGAGCACAAGTCTTCTGTGGGTGGCACTGCCCATGTGGGCGGGGCCTGCTTCTCTACTTGAAGGTGACCACGTTTAAATTCTGGGACAGGAAGTGGAGGGTGAATGGCGTGCCCCACCATGTCAGACGCGGCAGTGGACACCAGCTCCGAGATCACCACCAAGGACTTGAAGGACAAGGAAGTTGTGGAGGAGGCAGAGGATGGAAGAGATGCACCTGCCAATGGGAATGCTCAAAATGAGGAAAATGGGGAGCAGGAGGCTGACAATGAGGTAGATGAACAAGAAGAAGAAGGTAGAGAGGAAGAGGAGGAGGAGGAGGAGGAAGAGGAACAGCAGGAGGAGGAGAAGCAGGAGGAGGGAGGTGAGAGATGAAGATGAGGAAGCTGAGGTTTCCACCAGCATGCAGGTAGCTGAGGATGATGAGGGTGATGATGTTGACACTAAGAAGGAGAAGATTAATGAGGATGACTAGACAGCGAACAGAAAAGCTAACCTTACTCATAATGACCTAAAAGTTTTTTGTTTTGTTTTTTTTTAAATTGAGCCTTACATACCATGAGAAAAATACCAATTAGTATGAGGAACGTGTACCACTACAGAACATAACTGACAAACTTGACAAAGACCGAGGATACAAAGTGCTGTCCTTCGTGTGAGGTAATTAAAACTTACATATTGTAAGTGCTAAAGTTAATTACAAATTAGCTTATAAAGCAAGATTACAGTTGTTTTTTTTTAAGAGACATACAGTTTACAACCAAGTATTTTAATTCTTTAAGACATACACTGGAGTCTCATGAGTATATTAGAGTGAATGCACAGAGAAGCCCATGGAAGTAGTAGTTTTTAACATGCCAAGTTGCCCTGATGTTGCCAGACAGATTAGTAAATGGCTCTGTCTTGGTATATTCTTGCAATAGATACATATGCAAAATACTTTGCACAAATGTGATACTTACCTCAAATTATGTGGACTAAACTGACAAGGAAAAGAAATATGCAGACTAAGTATCAAAGTAAGAATTTTATGCATTTAAGTATACAAAGTTAATATTTCTCTTCACCCTCATTTCCATTTATTGCTAAGACACAGTCTCCTAAAATGACCCTTTGAAAATCTTGACTTGGATTTTAGACTCTCAGAGATTTCCTTCAGTAAAATCACACACTGAACCCCATGCATTAATAGTGGGAGGCTTGGGTGAAGGAAAAGGATTGAAGCCCCAGGGGCCAGCAGAAAGAATGGAAACAGGCAACCTAAGGAGGTAAGAGGTTGGGGGAGCCTCCAGAATGCACCAGAAACCTGAGAGGTGAGAGACTGTCAGGACCTTAGATGAAATGCCCTACAGTAAGGAGAGGGAACTTAGAGCCCACCTCCAGCAGGAAGACAAGGCATCAAGTGAGGGAGGGGGTTGGCATCCCACAGTCAAAACTCTGATCCATAGTTGTTCCTGTCTGGAAGAACTGCAGGGATGGAAATGGAGAGGAGCCTGAGGGAAAGACGGTCCAGCGACAGATCTAAAGTGGGATCCAGCTCATCAGGAGGTTTCAAGGCCTGACACTATTACTGAGGCTATGAAGCGCTCACAAAAAGGGAGCTATGATGACTGCCCTCCAAAAGACCCAACAAGAAGCTGAAAGAGTCAGATACAGATATTTATACCCAGCCAATGGACAGAAGCTGCTGCCCCTTGTGGTTGAATAAGGGAAAGGCTTGAAGAAGATCGCCTTGAGGAAGAAGGCGATCCTGTAGTCTCAATTAACCTGGACCCCCCAAGATCTCTCAGACACTGGACCACCAACCAGGCAATATACACCCACTGATATGAGGTTCCCAACAGATATAAAGCAGAGGACGGCCAGGTTTAGGTTCAATCAGAGAAAATGCACCTAACCCTCAAGAGACTAGAGGCCCCAGGGAGTTTAGTGGTCTGGTTGGGTGGAGGATTTGGGGTGTGTGTGTGGCGGGGGGACATCCTCGTGGAGACAGGTGGATGGGGAGGAGGTATGGGATGTGAACAGTTAGAGGGTAGATGGGAATAGGGGAATAAAATCTGGAGTGTAAATAAATAAATAAATAAATGACAAAAAATGTTTTCCACTTGGAAGGTACACTGAAAGACTGTTAGCCTTAATTCGCCAATACTGTTAACCTTTCTTAATACTTGATTTAGATTACTAAAAAATATGTCATGGTCCAGAGAAAATACAGCAATAAAATCTCAACAATGTGTCTGTGTGAACAGGAACATCATAATGACAAGAGCTGATGCAGCATCATGGACAAGGCTATTCTACAGCTGTACTTCTAGATGTAGATTTACAAGCAGTCAATGGCTGTTGTGAGAAGGAAAAACGGTGTGCACCAAGAAAGTGTTTCTTCAGAGATTGCACAGTGTCAAGCGGCCATCTAAGAAACAGTGGCAAATGGACTCAATAGGCTTGATATACATGCATGCATGAATGTGTGCTCATGTGTACACACGAATAAAATAAAGAAAATTGAAGAAGCAATTATGAATTCAAACACAGAACTAAGAAAGAGTAGAAGAGTGAAAGAGGTGTAGATGTAGTGCTCATGGAGTTGACAAAAATTATTTTAAAAAGAAATATGTCATAAGAAGACCTCAGAAAATGGAAAGATCTTCCATGCTCATGGATGGGAAAAATTAACACAGCAAAAAAATGGCCATTTCAATACATCCCCATCAAAGTTCCAACACAGTTCTTCACAGACATAGGAAGAACAATTCTCAACCTCATATGAACAGACAAAAACCCAGGATAGCAAAAAACAATTCTCAACAATAAAGAACCTCTGGGGAAATCACCATTCCTGACCTCAAGCTGTACTAAGGAGCAAAAGTGATAAAAATCACATGGTGTTGGTACAGAGACAGATAGGTTGGTCAATGAAATAGAATTGAAGATCCAGAAATAAACCCACACACCTAAGGACACTTGATCTTTGACAAAGAAGCCAAAATGATCAAGTGGGATAAAGAAAGCATCTTCAATAAATGGAGCTAGTCTAACTAGTACACTGCATGTAGAAGACTGCAAATTGATCCATTTTTATTTCCTTGTACAAAGCTCAAGTCCAAGTGGATCAAGGACTCAACATAAAACCTGATACAGTGAATATAATAGAAGAGAAAGTGGGAAATAGCCTCAAATGCATTGGTACAGGGGGAAATTCCCTGAACAAAACACCAATGGTGCAGGCTCTAAGATCAACAGTTGATAATGGGTCCTCATAAAACTGAGAAGCATCTGTAAGGCAAAGGACACTGTCAATAGGACAAAACAGCAACCTACAAATTGGAAAAATATCTTCACTAAACCTACATCTGATAGATGCCTAATATCCAAAATATATAAAGAACTCAAGAAGTTAGACTCCAAAAGAAAAAAATCAAAAAATGGGGCACAGAGCTAAACAGAGAATTCTCAACAGAGGAATCTCAAATGGCCAAGAAGCACTTTAAAAAATGTTCAGTGTCCATAATCATCAAAAAATGCAAATACAAAACAACCCTGAGATTCTACCTTACACCAAACAGAAGGGCTGAGATCAAAACTTCACTTGACAGCATATGCTGGAGATGATGTGGAGAAGAAAGAACACTCCTCCATTGCTTGCAAACTTATCCAGCCACTCTGGAAATCAATCTGGAAGTTCCTCATAAAATTGAAAATAGCTCTACCTAAAGACTCACCTATACCACTCCTGGGCATATATTCAAAAGATGCCCCACCATACCACAATGACACATGCTCCAGCATGTTCATAGCAACCTTAATTGTAATAGCTAGAAGCTGGAAACAACCCAGATGTCCCTCAACTAAAGAATGGATACAGAAAATTGTAGTTCATTTATACAATAGGGTATATACATCTGTTAAAAGTGAATTTTTCAGTCAAATGGATGGAACCAGAAAATATCATCCTGAGTGAGGTAAGTCACACCCCAAAGGACATACATAAGAATGTGCATACTGATAAGTGGATATTAGCCCAATTTTACAGAAAACCCATGGCACAACCCACAGATCATAAGAAGTTTATCAAGAAGGAAGGCCCAAATGAGGATGTTTCACTTCCACTTAGAAGGGAGAACAAAATAATCACAGGAGGCAGACAGAGGAAGGGAACTGAGTTGGACAGGAGAGGGTGAGGAGAAATGTGGGGGGGGGGG